TAAAAGAAATTTTTCGCGTATTGTTGTTAAATGTATAATAATATATAGTGCGAAATATATTGTCATATTATCGTTCTTATGTAGCTACACATACACATTGTAATTGTACTTCCACAATCTGTTTAGTTCCAAACCAAAAAATTATTTTTATTTGCATATTGCAAATTTACAAATGTGTGGATGTTTACAACTATTATAGTGGATCTCAAAATTATCCAGCATAATAGTTATAATTTTACACAATTTTTTACAATGCGCTTGAAACTAGAGAAGCCTCTAGGCTCGTCCGCTGTGATTGTTGGTCGTCGATTTAAAAAAAAGTAACGGAAAAGTAACGAAAAGTTACTTTCTCAAGTAACGGTAACTGTAACGAGTTACTTTTAAAAATCGGTAACTAGTAACGGTAACTTGTTACTTTTCCTACTCGGTAACGAGTAACTGTAACTTGTTACTTTTAAAAAGTAACTTTCCATTCCCTGATATATATGTATATATTAGTATACATGTATGTATATACACACCACACACACACATATGTATATACAAATAAAACTACCTGTTCAAATTCATGAGCAATCTCGTTTTTTCTATATTCTGCATCGGGAAATTTAATCATATTTGGTTCAATATTATTTAAAAATTTCATTACATTGGTTATAATATGATAAAAAGTAGATTCAGCTACATTAAATCTCTCTCTCTCTCTCTCTCTCTCTCTCTCTCTCTCTCTCTCTCTTGAGACAACATCTCTTATTACTGCCTTATTTCCAGCAAACCTGATAATTAATAATAGGTATAATATTAAGTGAAAATGTTCAACACCATGAAATGTTCAATACAAATGAGTGAAGAGAATTATATTGTTGAAGTAAAAATTGTAAAAATTCACACAAATTATTAGGCATTAGGCATTAATTATTAGTTATCAGGCACTCGCCTTATGAGAATTTAGAGCCTTTGTTACTTGTTTGAGTTGATATATAATTAAAAATATTTAAAAAAATATAATTATTGAAATATAGTAAGGACTTAACCATAAAAATGATAAAAGCTGCGTTTTGCAATCTATGACTTTACGTCCACCATGCTTATTTAATTGTTTAAAAATTTCTGAATTTTCATATAATAATTGTAATTTATTAAATGTTTCTCTCTTTAGACGAAAAAAGGTATCGCTGAAACTACAATAAATATATTAATTAGGTTATAATATATAGTTTTAATTATACAAATATCACGTACATTATAAATTT